CCTGCATGTAGCTTACGCTCCAAACCTAGGGCCGTTGAGTGTGCTTGGTGAGAAGAATGTGGTTATCTGGATTTTGTGGCTAACTAGATGAAAGAGGGAGAGAGTCAATCTAGAGGTGACAATGGGTCTGCTAGGACGAAGAAGAGACCTTGGGAGAGGAGGCAGCTCCAGCTGAGGTGTATTGTCTAGAGCATTTTGGAAGATTTATCTGGAATTAGTGGAAAATGGCTGCTAGTGAGACTCCATCAGAAGGTCAGTCCTGATATAGGCCCTCGTGGGCCTGGGGCAGCAGAGGGGAGATTTTTCTTTCCTTCCCAGATCCTGGGAGATTTTTCTTTCCTTCCCAGATCCTGGCCTTGTGCCTAAGGCCCTCCGACAAAAGATGAGGAAGATAAGAAGCACACAGAATTATTTAGTCTAAAGTTCATAAGATATGGGAGTCTTCTGTAGAAGACGTGAAGAAATGGATAAGTGTGTGTGTGTTTGTTTATGCCAGGTCTGATGAAATTCCTGGTTGTAGAGAGGCACAGTCAGACAAATGGGGTATGGCTTGTGGTGATAAACTTCAGGAGGTGTCACCAAGCCTGTTTTGAAATGTTTCAAATGGGAGGGGAGGGGAGAAGGTCAGCTAGTACTTGCCAAGGTCGCTGACCTGCAGCAAGGGAGAATGGGGAGGGACAGCTGACTTCTGCTGTTTTCTGCGTTGTCCACATGCCATATTTGGGAGCAGCATGTCTTGGGTCCTGTCTGTAGATGGTGTCATCCAAAGCTAGAAGCAGAGGAAAACTGGAGCGCAGAAAGATCAAGAAACATGTTCTGGGTCACCTTGGAGGCTTGCTGGGAGTTGGGAGTCCAACTCAAGCTTGAGAAAGCCTGTACTCAGTTCTGTTTACCTTGGGGTTGCCTTTTGCAACCTGACCCGGGGAAAGTACTATGGGTTGGACCTGGGTCTTCCTGGGAAAGAATGAGCAGAGAGGGAAGGAGCAGGCTAGACTCCGAAGCATTGCCCCTTGCCATGTGGCTGCAGCTAGACTGAGGGCCACCATCTCCTGTTCCTGAGGAGCAGCCTTGCACCAGAGGCTTGCACTGACCAGCTCCCGGGAAACAGGAGTTTGACTGGCAGATGTTCTGAGAGATGACTGCTCTCAGAGCCGAAAGCATATTGCTGACTTCCTCCCCAACCCAGAGAGGAGAGCTTTGGACTTTGGGCACCAGAAACTGTCATTTCACTAACGGATAAAACAAACCAGGGAGCCCTTGAGCTTTGACTTTGGCGGGAGGAGGCTGACGTGGAAGCTTCCGGAAGACCCAGAGTGAGGTTACAAGTAGGAGCTTGCTTACTTACCTAAAGCAGGGGTACAGCACTCTAGGAAGGAGCAAATGGCAGGGCAGAGAGAAGTGGGATGTGACTGGTACATAAGGAGGATCATCCCCAGTGTCTCAGGAGCCCAGGCTGGGAGTCCAGGTCTGGTCTTGGACCGGAGGATGCATGCTCCCCCTCATTTATTCCTTGCATTTCTTTCTGAGCCGGGACATCATGTCAACAATGTCAGACCTTCCAGCCTCAGCTCAGGCCTGCTGTCTGGCTGACCAGGCTTTGAGGCATGCTGGCACTACAGCCAAGGTGACCTGGCTAGGTTAGAGTGGACCGAGACAGAGAAAGGCACGGGGCTTCCTCCCCCTGTTCAGACCTGTTCAAGAAGCATGGCAGACGGATGGGTTCATCATCTGGACTGAGCTGCTGCAAGTCCTCAGAAGAGACATACAGTTCATAGGACATGGAGCTCTGGAGAGCATTCACGTGCTGTGGATACATGTAAAGCCCTAGATGGCAGCGTGTGACAGGCCTCTGCTGCTGGCAGGAGCTGAGGTTCAGTCCCCTCAGTGACTCTGCGGACATCTGCAGGCCTATACCCCCTCTTCTTTAGGTGACCTCTACATTCTCCTCCTCTTTCCCTTTCTCAATGGTACCCCACCACCTCCCCCTGCTAAGTGTTGCTTTCCTTTGTTTCCTCTGGATGTTTGTGCCCCAAAGGAACTGCTCCCTTCCGTTTCCTCAAATTCTTCCAGTACCGTCTAGGCATTTCTCTGGAGAGTTATAAAAAGGGCAACTATGAACATAAAAAGATGCCTGCCGTCATCATCAAACCATACACATCCCATCACATCTGCCTGGGTAGCCATCACTGAAAAGACAGACCAGAACGAAGCGAGGCTGGAGCGTGGCTAGTGGGCTTGTAGGGTGGAAAGTGGCTCCATGCCCCTTGAACGGGTCTGAAGGTGGAGGGAGGGGGAATACAGTGTTTTTCTCCATTTGGGCCAACTCAAACCCAGCCAAGTTACCCCGCAGCAGCGCCAGCATGTGCTGGGACCGGGCCAACTAGACAACAGGACTGGGACTCAGACTGGAAGGGCTGTAGCAAACAATTCAGTGGTTTCTTCCTCAAATAGTCAAACATAGAACTGTCACAGGACCCAGCAATTTCACCCACAGACGTATACCCAAGGAGACTGAAGATGCATACCACATAAAACACTGGAATGACAGTTCATAATACCCCAAGTCACCCAAGTTTATTAGTTGATGAGTATATGAACAAAACGCAGTCTACCTATACAGAGGAGAGCTATTCATCCACAGAAAGAAAGGAAGCACTGACAGATGCTACAGTGTTGAGCACCCTTGGAAATATGGGATTTTAAAAACTAGTTACAATGCGGGGCGATGGTGGCGCACGCCTTTAATCCCAGCACTCGGGAGGCAGAGGCAGGCGGATCTCTGTGAGTTCGAGACCAGCCTGGTCTACAGAGCTAGTTCCAGGACAGGCTCCAAAGCCACAGAGAAACCCTGTCTCGAAAAACCAAAAAAAACAAAACAAACAAACAAAAAAAAGAACNAAAAAAAAAAAAAAAAAAAAAAAAAAAAAAAAAAAAAAAACTAGTTTCAGGTAACCACGTATTAGATTCTTTCTTCTATGTGAAATGTCCAGAATAGGAAACCCACAAGCAGGCAGTAGATTAGGGTTTCTGGAACTCTGGTAAGAAGGGATGGGAAGTGACTGCTAGATGATGCTGGGCTTTCTGCTGCAGCAAGGAAGAGTTTGGGGACTGTACGGTGGTGGCTGCTGTACAATTTCGTAAACGAACTAAAATCCATGGGTTGCGAGCCATAAGAGTTTTGTGATATGTAAATTGTATATATCGTATCAGTCATTTGCTAGTTGGAGTCACAAATACCTGGTTGTAGAACAACTAAAGGAAAGGTTGGTTTGGATTCATAGTGTGAGGGTGCAGTGGATGGCTAGAGGAGGCTCCGGGGCAGAAGAGAGAGAGAGAGAGAGAGAGAGAGAGAGAGAGAGAGAGAGAGAGAGAGAGAGAGAGAGAGAGAGAGATAAGGTTACATTGTATCTACAGTCAGGACACGGATGGATACTAGTCAGCTGGTTCTTCCCTCACTCTGTTGTATTCAGTGGGAGCTAGACAGGTCAGTTACATTGTATCTACAGACAGGAGGCGATGAATGCTGGTCCTCCAGTACTTCTCTCTGTTGTATTCAGTGGGAACGAGACAGGTCAGGTTACATTGTATCTACAACCAGGAGACAGATGAATGCTTGTCTGCTGGTACATACCTCACTCTGTTGTATTCATTGGGAGCTAGACAGGTAAGGTTACATTGTGTCTACAGCCAGGAGAAGGATGAATGCTGGTCCGCTGGTACTTCCCTCTGTTGTATTCAGTCAGAAACCACAGCCCACAGGATGGGCTGCCTCACTCCAAGTGAATCCTCCTCAGTTAAATCTCTCATAGACATGCCCAAAGCTGTGTCTCCTAGATGATTATAAATCCCATTAAGTTAACAATCACAATTAACCATGGCATGGGCTGTGTTCTCAGGGCTGGGAGGATAGCTTAGTGGTTAAGGAAGTGCACTGGTCTTCAGTTCCATTCCTAACACCAACATCAGGAAGCTCACAAATGTTTGGAACTCTAGCTTCAAGGAAGCCCCATGTCTCTGACCTCTGTGGACATATGCACACATACCTACACGTCCACTTTAAAAACAGTCCACTAGCTCCAAGATACCTTGTGTGCGGAGCACAAAACCTTGGCCTGTGGAGGTTCAGGGTCTCAAAAGCCCTTTTTGAGTTTTCTTCTGGGGATGGAGATGAACTCCATGGAGTAAGAAGTATTCTCCAGTCTCCAGCAGACCATGTGAAATGGAAGGAAACTTTATCTTGAGCTGGGGGAGGGGTGTGTGCAGGACATGAAACAATGGAGGAGGCCATCCACAGGAAATGGAGGGGGTGTGGGGAAGCTCTGGTCTCCAGGTGAAAGGATGCGGGACTTGTGGGGTTTCCACTGAGATCCAGAAGCAGGAGAGAGTAATGGACGTGTTTCCATAGTTACTGTGTGAGAAAGCCATCATGGCAATGAGATCAGGGGGTCCCATACAACTCTGCCTCCTGGGTCTGTTTGTCTAGGAGAAGGTTCTGTCTAGGAGAAAGCACACATTCTGAATAGTTGTGTGCTTTGATGTGTAACTTGCAGGCTTGACTGTTTGGCTCTGTGGCTACATGTGTGATGGTGTCCTATGACAACAAGGGGTCTCTGTCTTATAAAGGAAAAGCTTTTGTCCCTTGGCTCTGGACCCAACCTTGACCACACCCTTGGCCTAAAGCCTACTGAAAGACTACACAGCTCATACTTAATATGAGAGTGGTTGCTCCATAGCTTGCTGTGGGGAAAGGGGGCGGCTTCTCTTTAGGAAATGTGTGCCTGAATGGAGTAAAGGGGAACACATGGGACCCATGGCCTCTCAAGAAAGTCCCTCTCAGGGGTTTCAAAATCAGAAAGGCTGTTGAGACCAACTCTCAGACCCTCACAACCGCCAAGGTCATGTTTTCTAGAAACAGTTTGCTCCTGATGTCTACCTGGGTCAAGGGCTATTATGTGGGATTTTATCTCATCAGCTGCTTGGATGTCCCATTGGGCCCACAGGTGAGGGGCCCCATATGCCAGACAGAGACAACAAGACCGCGATGGGCACAGAAGACATGCACGAAAGCAAAGTCAGCATGGAGTCTCAGGACGCACTTCAGGATGCACAGCCTCCACGACTCTTCCATAGCATCAAGGTGCGCACTGTCGGACAAAGCAGGGAAGGGGCCACCAGGTCCAGCAGTTAGCACCAACCACCTTTCTTCTCACTTCCCTGCCTGGAGGATGGATTTTTGGGCTGACTCAGGGAAGCTCTTAGATTGGTTCTGGGCACAATGAAGACAAGCAGGTTCTCCTTGCAGCAGCTGATCCGTGTTAGTCTGTAGATGATGGAGGATGATACCCTTGCTTCTCGTTCCCTTGGAGACATGCTCTGCAGTCCTAAACTTGTGTGAACACTGGAGTTCTGGCTCCACAAGAACTTAAAGACTCACCCAGTAGGCGTCAGATCCTGTGCAGAGTGCCATACCTGATCTTTTCTGTTGCTGTTTTAATGACAAGGATGAAAATCTAAACCGTGCTCTTGCTAGGCCAGTGTTCTGCAGCTGAGCCCCACCCTGAAGATCTGAGTTCCTCTGTAATCCTAGGAGGTGGAGCCCTTGCCCTAATGAAGAGACAAAGTCTCCAAAGTTTTGAGCAATGTCTTAAGCTCTGGCCTAAATGCTCTTAGATTTTGGTTCTTTGAAGCAAGGTTTTCTTCCTCTAGGAATTCTGCCAGCTTTTTCTGGGCAGGCTGGGTTGTTTGGGGTGAGGTGGGGTGGGACAGCTTGGGAAAGTCAGAAGAAGGAGTGTTTCCACAGCAGCCCTGTGAGAAAGGGGTGGGAATGGGGTGGAGATGGAGCTGGGAGATCTAGGAGAACCTTCTGGGGAAGAGGGTGTTATGTCGAGCAGGGAGGAAGGTCCAGCCCAATGCCCGTGGAGATCAGAGGGTCGGAAGGGCTCTGATGTGTCTATTTTTAGTTAAGGGTGTCTCTGGTAGCTCCCATGTTTTTAAGTCCTACCTTAACTTGTCAGCCTGAATTAGACTCCATGGGTTACTCCAATTGACTCTCTCTCTCTCTCTCTCTCTCTCTCTCTCTCTCTCTCTCTCTCTCTCCTCTCCCTCCTTTCCTTTCTTTCTTGCCTCTTCACTTCCCTCCCTCTGTTTTTCTCCTCCCTTATATCTGCCCCTCCTGACTTTGTTTACCCAACTTCACACTCCCTCTGACCCAAACTCTGTCTCTATCTCCCTGACTTCTGATGGTGTCCATCCCCCTGCCACCATCGCTGCTTCCACAGTTCTTCGTCTTGTGTCACAGTATACTGCAGCTGGCGCAGCTCATGATCTCTGGTTACCTCAAAAGTTCCATCTCCACTGTGGAAAAGCGCTTTGGACTGTCCAGTCAGACCTCAGGGCTGCTAGCTGCCTTCAACGAGGTACTGTTGTCCCCCTCCCAGGAGTGAAGGCTGAGGAAACCCTCTACTCAGACCTCTGCTAGCCTCCTTTCTTACACCCATAGACATTTCCTCCCCTCATGAAACCCCCAATACTGTCTACTCCCCCAAATTTTCATAGCTCTCCTCTCACAGCATGCTGGCCCAGGTTGAAGCCCAGAAAAGCCTCCTCCTGCCCTGGACCCAGCCATTGTGTCCTTAGGAGCTCTTTGTTAGGGGACACGAGATATTTGTTAGCTTGCCAGAGTTGGGGAGACACCCACGCTCCATGTGGATCTTTTGTATCATGGGTCCTGTAGCTATTGGCTGTCCCAGGAAGAAATCACAGAAAGCCATTTCGACCGTCCCAGAGAGAGGCTTGAATTACCTCCAAGACACCCTCTGACTAACCTTGGGGTGACAAAAGGGAGGGGTAGCCCTGCAGGGAAGGTCTGGCCCCAGGATGCCCTGGATCCACAGGCCCCTGCCTGTGGCCCTCAGCCAGGCAGGGAGAGGCTTAGCTGCTCCATGTGAATTCAGTGGAAATCGATTCTGCTGGGCCTCAGCCATGCCTCCCAGATGGTGTCACTCTCTGGGAAGAAAAGTCTGTTCTCCTCAGTCCCAGTCAGTGAAATTCTCTTCCCTGGAGAATAAGCCACATTCCTCTAGCCCCAAGGCCTGGCCCACCAGCTGCACAGCCATCTCATCCCCCATGGGTCTCAGCATGATGTTACTCTGAGATCTCAAGTGTGGGAAGGGAAAGTCCGTCCATTTGGTAAACGGGAATTGTCCCTTTACCCCACAGTTGGTACCCAACAGCCCCTGTTGATGCGGCTCACTCCCTTTCAGGACCCTGGAACTCCGCCACCCAACTCCTAGATCCCTGGGATGATGAGGCTAAGAGTTGAAATCCCAAGCCTCAACCTCCTGGTTTCAGATTTTATTTTTTTATTTTTTTATTTTTCCCCCTCTCATTCTTGAGGCCCCTGAGGCTCCAAATCTTTTCCCTCAACTGCTCGCTCTCCTCCAAGGTGAACTCAATCAGCCAGCTTTGTCCTCATTTTTCTCCTCTAAAGAGGCAATGAGACCCTTCCCTTTCCTAGGAAGACTCAAAATCTGCGTGTTATCGTCAGTTTTGCATTGTGTTTTTTATTGAGATGGGGTCTCACTACGTAGCCCAGGCTGGCCTTGAATTCCAAACCATCTTACCGCCTCACTTGCTCTCTACTGGGGTGGCAGGCATCAGCCATCATGCCTGGCTCAGAAACTCCATCCCACACATACCCAGAGGGTTCGTTTTCAAACTAGCCAGTCCAATGCACAGATGGGGACACCGGAGGTAGCCACAGGAAGGATGGACTTTGCCACGCTTTAATTGTTATTCCGTCCCTTTGCAGGTAGGGAGCGTATCCTTGATCTTGTTCGTGAGTTACTTTGGCAGCCGAGTTCACAGGCCCCGGATGATTGGCTGTGGGGCTATCCTGGTGGCCCTGGCAGGCCTGCTCATGGCACTCCCGCACTTCCTCTCGGAACCATACCGCTATGACAACGCTGGTAAGAGACTGGGCAAGTGATGACGGAGGAACTTCAGTCCTGAGCATGGGATCCTTTCCCAAGCCTGCATCCATCACTCCAGTGTACCTGATAGCCCTTCCCACCCCGTCCCCAGTCTTTCTGATCCCAGTTCATATTAGGAAGGGTAGCCACAGGGCAGAGGTGAAATGTTCTAGTCCCCTTTGAGCAAGGACCTGATCGTGCATCTCTGTGGGGTTTTGAGGTAAGAGAAAACCTTTAATACAGCCTGCTTCAGGGTCTGCTGTGCAGAAACCCCTTAGGAAACGTCTGTAGAACAAAATGGCAGTATCATATGATGTTTCTTCGATGCCACAGATGATTTGAAGCATTTCTTTTGTATTTGTCCATTTAATCTTCACAAGCATCCAAGACAGAGGAGCCAGGCTTGATGGAACACCCTAGCACTTGGGAGGTAAAACAGGAAGATTGGGAGTCCTGGGCTATCTTTGACTATATAGTGAGCCAAGGGCTAGCCTGAGATTCATAAGATCCTATCTCATTTTTTTTGTTGTTGTTGTTGTTCTGTTTTGTTGGCTGGGTTTTTGTTTGTTTGTTTGGTTGGTTGGTTTTTTTTATTTTGCTTTGTTTTGGTTTTTGGTTTTTCTAGACAGGGTTTCTCTGTGTGTACGTAGCCCTGGCTGTCCTAGAACTTGCACTGGCTCGCCTCAGACTCACAGAGATCCACCTGCCTCTGTCTCCAGAGTGCTGAGATTAAAGATCTGACTAAGACCCTGTCTCAAAAAGAAGAAAAAAAAATCAATGTTTGTCTTAGTTAGGGTTTCTATTACTGTGAAGAGACACCATGACCACAGCAACTCTTCTAAAGGAAAGCCTGTAACTGAGTGGCTTAGTTTCAGAGGTTCAGTCCATTATCGTCATGGCTGGACATGAAGGCACGCAGGCAGACATGGTGCTGGAGAAGGAGCTGAGAGTTACGACATCTTGACCCACAGGCAACAAGAAGTGGTCTGAGTCCCTGGGCATGACTTGAGCCTATAAGAGACCTCAAAGTCTGCCCCCACAGTGACACACTTTCTCCAACAAAGCCATACCTCCTAATAGTGCCTTTGCCAATGAGTTTATGGGGTCCAATTGCATTCAGAATACAACAATGCTTGAATGTGTGGATGAATATAGTAAAATTAATTAGTTAATTAAATAACAGGATTTTGTTGAGAGTCTAATTGAAAAAAAAGATGTCCCTCAGAGCAACCAGCCTGAATACTCATTTTCCTCTCCTCTTCCATCTATCCATCTATCCACTCATCCATCCATCTCTAATTTATCCATCTATAGTTCACGTAACAAGCCTACCCTACTGCCCTCTGTACTCAACCCTTCAGGGCCTCCAAACTTCTCTCCAGGAGGCTTCTAGCCTAGGAGAGGAGAACAACAGACAGAAAACCCAGCATGCCAGTTTCACCTCGAAAGTGTTAGGACCCAGAGGTGGGACCACGAAGCAGACATATCCTGGAAATTATGGGGGTGGAATGGGCAGTTCTGCATAGCACCTGGCTGCTTAGGAGGCAGGGAGAGTGAACCCTTGGGGCCCTGGGTAGGGGAAGAACGCTGGTGGCTGGAGGGAACTACCAAGGGCAAGAGGAAGCAGCATGGGAGGAAAGGTGAACATTACGGGGTGTGGGGTTTGGCACGAATAGGGTCCCCCAAAATGAAAAAGTGCAGAAAACCATGAAGAAAGTAGAGAACCAAGCTTGGTGGCTCATTCCTGTCATCCTAGCCCTCAGAAGCCAGAGGCAGGTGGATTGCCACAAGTTTGAGGTCACCCTGGGGCACAGAGTGAGTTCCAGGCTGCTCAGGCTACATTGTGACCTCTTGTCTCATATTTTAAAAAATTGCTGAGTGGGTCTCTAGAGCAGAGAGGACAGTTGTCGACAGGGCATCTCAGGATGCTGAAAAAGTAACACTTCCTCGTGTTTTTTTGCCCAGAACTTCTACTTTAGCAGATAGTTTTCTGTGCAAGGTCACACTGTGTTCTCCCTGCCAGCTCCAAGCTCTTCTTGTCTGAACCTCAGTGTTCACAAGATCAGCTCAAAGGTTTCCATGACTCTAAGCTCCAAACCCTCTCCCGGCTCTGACATGCACAGCCCTTTGCACAGTTTATCCTCTCTGCGGTAGTCGTGTGCTTGTGTAACAGGCCAGGCTGTCCGAAAGACCCTGGAGACACCCAGGGATGCTAACGGCAAACGTGAACTCCAGGGTGACTGATGTCTGCAATGCCCTCTGGGAACTAGACAGGGCCACTTCTCACTACCCCACCAGTGTCCCCATGCTCAGAGGTTTCCACGATTGCCTCGGGGCCCCAAGGCCAAAGAGGGAGATGCAAGGCCAGGCCCACACCTGGGCACCACCCAGAACTATTCCACTTTTAAACTCCTAATGTTGAGAGAACGTTAGTTCTGGGAGACTCACTTAAGGGATGAGGACTAGAGAGGCAAGGGTCACACGGTGGGAGAGCCACTAATGACTTTGGCTACATGGTTCTCCCCAGTACCGGGTGTGACTCTCCGGGTTAGCTTGACACCCTGACCCTGCTGTCACAGAAGGAGGGCCACTTCAGCACAGTGGGGACCATAATAGAATGAGGGTCTCCTCAAGTTTGCTCACCAAATATTGGTCAAGGAATAAACGTCTGGTGCTAAATTAAGAAAATGTCCCTTCCTGCACTTTGTGCCCATGTCCTGAACTCAAAATGAGTGAACTCCCTCCCCAAAGTGAATACCAAGGACAGCGGAGCCCACCATGGTCTGGTGGCTTCCTGCTCTTGCCCAGCCCTGCCTGTAGCCCTGGCTTGACTCTACTCCGTGACATGTTGTTCAGAACATCTCATTCCAACACTGTGTGCTTTTTGAGGCCCCGGTGTGGACTCTCCTAGGAATATCCCTTCCCTCCTCGTTTCTTGAAAACTTCTTTATTTGTCTTTCTCCACCCAGTTCATACTCTACCTTTTTTAGTAACTCCTGTCCCTCCACCCAAGAGCCACCACTTTCCTGACCCTTCTGAATGCCCCTACTTGGAAAGGTGACCTGTAATAAATTAAGACCAGGAATGGGAAGTCAAACTAAGGAGCCCAGATGATTGACATGTTTCTGGTTCACAGACCTAGATCCCCTTAGGTTTTGGGGGATCGAGTGACTTATACCCAAGCACTCAGGACAGCTCCTTACCTCTGATATTGCTCATCTTAGCTATGGTCGTATTCTTATTATCTTCTCTCAGATTATAAATCGCAGGACACGGAAGCTTCCCTATGCCTACCCACAACTGTGGCTCCAGCCTCTACCCCCTCCAATGACAGTTGTTCCAGACGCACAGAAGCCAAGCATCTTACTATGGTGGGGATCATGTTCACAGCGCAGACCCTACTCGGCATAGGTGGTGTGCCCATACAGCCCTTTGGTATCTCCTACATTGATGACTTTGCCCACCACAGCAACTCACCTCTCTACCTTGGTAAGGATGCTCTCTTCCCTTAAGCTCTGAGAAGGGGGCCAGGCCCATGCGGGGGCGAGAGAAGCCAAGCATGATGGGCCGAGAAAATTCTGGTGAAGTCCTAGAGAGCTCCCCAACCGTGACCAGGAGTCAGGACTGCTCTCGGAAGACTGAGCAGGCAAAGAGGCACTTGAGGCAGGCAGAGACACCCACTGAGGGTGGTTAGAGACCCTCTGAGTGTAGGTTGGGACCCACTATGGATAGGCAGGGACCCACGGAGGTATGGGGGGACCTACTGGTGATAGTCAGAGTGATGTTGACGGCAGACGGGGCCGCAGGATCCTCACCAAGACTTGTATTGCAGGGATCCTGTTTGCAGCGACCACGATTGGGCCTGGCATGGCCTATGGGCTGGGCAGCCTCATGCTGCGCCTTTATGTGGACATTGACCGGATGCCAGAAGGTGAGCCTTGGGGTATACATGTACCCTCCAGGGTACACACACGCGCTGTAACTGACTGCCGGTCTTACAGGAGGCGCAAAACCAGGAACCCATTTGGGAGCCCCAACAGCAACACTGACCATGGACAAGCCTTTTCCTTTCACTCTCTGGGCCTGTTTCCTCATTCTTGAGATAATCTCTATCCTCCTGTCTCCCAAGACTGTCACCAGAACCTAGTGAAGTGTCAGAGATGATAAACTGTAGAGTGCCATCTTCTGAGGAGCTGTGCCCTCCTCTGTCACCGCCCTCCCTCCCCTAGGCACAGGCATACTGTTGACAGGTAATAAAACAGACCCTCTAAGCTTACAGGGAACACCATCTTCAGGGGGAAAGCTTCCTAAGACCAGGGCCAAACCATACTGAGAATGGAGAGCTGAGTTGAGTGACTCGTGTGTTCTCTTGGGTCTCTCCCAGCTGAGACACAGCCAAGGGCACCTCAAAGCCCCTTTTAGAAAACAGACTACCTCAGATTCTGAGAAACTTCCAGAGGCATCATTTGGGAAACTACCCTCAGATCAGCCAGAAGTCAGAATGGGCCAAGGAGTCTGATTAGAGCTTGGTTTGAAGGTGGCCAGGAAGAGGTGTGTAGGGGCCCCAGGGCCCTGGATCCCTGTGTGTTCCAGGGGATGGGGGTCCGTGGGGTGAGGTGTTCTGTTAGAGCAGGTCACTGTGGCTTCTTAGCTGCCTGGTTGTCACACCAGCGTGTGAGTACCAGGTGCCCCTTCTGCCTCCTACGGCTCAGAAGTTCTGTTCCTCACTTGCAAAGCCACCATAACACATACGTGACTGGGGGGCGGAGCATTCTCTAGCTTTTCCGTAGGGGTTCCTCCAGTCAGGACAGGTCTGGACTGTTATGCACAACCATCATGAGTAACAATTCTGCCTATATCTCTTCCTTCTAGAACACTGGACCCCAATACCAGACCTGAGCTCTGTTACTAGCCAGCCCCTTGATAGCCTGAGAGAGAGGTTCTGGGATTTGGGGTGACCTTGGCTTCCCAGCCACCTCCACTTGGGAAAAAGTGTGTGTTTCCTGTCACCATTAATATCGTCTTGGCCCACAGGGTGGATGTTGCCTCTGAGCCACCTCCTAGGTCCTTTCTTCATGGAGGATTGGAAGGGTGGGCGGTTCCTGCCAGCTGCAGGCACAGGCTAGCATATGCTTGAAGAGGAGTCAGGCTCTCTCTAGTCTGACACGGAGCCAAGGCAGACAAGAAACAGGGAAAGCATTGAGTGGAGAAGCCACACCTATCCTGGCTCTGGAACTCCATTTGCTAATTGCCAGCTGTGTTCCTTTGTCCCTTCCCAGAGAGGGGCTCAGGATCCAGCACCTGGAGAACAGGCTGTGCGAGCTGCTGATTGGTGCTACCGGGGACTTATATTTTTATACAGTACCTGTGAGCCTGGGTGTTGTGTAACTTTTCCTGGAGAGAAGTGAGCAAGTGTGTTTTCACCCCAGATAGGGCAATGATGACAGACCAAAGAAACAACTGCATCTTAGGCGAGCCTGGTACGCCAGTGCGTTTGTTAGAGTTACTTAAAGGAGCGTGGAGGACGCGAGGGCATCACTGAGAGGCCACTACAGCTTGGGTGACCACACACAGAAGCTGTATCCCTGGAGTCCCCCACACAACTTGCAGATGTCCCACCAGAAAGGCTCGTCCTGCTCAGAAATTGCTTCCTGCTTTTATAACCGTAGAGGGGCTCGTGGAGCTGGTAATTTTCTCAGCCTCCTGAGTCTTACAATCCTCCCTTCTCCAGCCTTCTGCTTTATAAGTTTTAAGGGCAGCTATGCATCATGTTCTAAATAAAACAGGCAAGATACCAAAACCACGGGGACGGGGCTTGTTAAAGGAACACATTCATTAGCCACCTTCTCCCCAAGCCTGTGGTCATTTGAAGCAGATCTTCAGTATCACCAAATGTGTCTGTTAAACAGTCCCAATTATTTTAAACGTGCAGATCTGAAAACAAAAGCAATCCCACCCTCGTTCGGTTCAGTAACAGCACGTTGTCTAGTAGTGGAAATTGCAATGGGAATAGAAGCAGGAGAGGAGGAGCAAGTAGCTATAAAACCCACATCCCTCCAAGTGCTTTCCTTGTCTGTCTTTCATGGATTTTGAGACAGGATGTCATATAGACCGGACTGGTTTTAAAGTCAATGCTTAGTCAAGAGTGACCTTGAGATTTTTGATTGTACTGCTTCCACTTCCTGAGCGCCCAGTTTAGATTTTAAATTTTTAATTACATTTACTTGCTCTCTCTCTCTATATATATATGTGTGTGTGTATGTGTGTATATAATATATTATATATATATTAGTTTCTGTAATTTTCCCAACAACTCTATGATGTAGAAACCTCATCTCCTAATGCTGTTGATACCTGTATGCCACATTGGGAGAAACTGAGGCACTGACATGTGCGTTATTACAGTACTCCATTGGCTTAGAGGTTGAGGGTCCTCAGAGGTAGTAGTGACAACCAGCTGTGATGTTAACACTGTCACGGTTTTCTATTCCAGGAGGTATCAACTTGACCCCCAAAGACCCCCGATGGGTAGGCGCCTGGTGGCTGGGCTTCCTCATCTCTGCTGGATTGGTGGTACTGGCTGCCATCCCCTACTTCTTCTTCCCCAGGGAAATGCCCAAGGAGAAACATGAGCTTCACTTAAGGCGCAAGGTCTTGACTGGTGCAGCCTCCAGAGTCAGCAAGGTAAGCATCCTCCACATACTGGCCACAGAACCCACCATAATGCTTCCTAACAGAGGCTTCATCCTTCCTGAGCAAGCTCCAGTGCCCCCTACCAACAGGCCTGCCCAGTGACCATCGTGGGTCCCTTCCATGACCCAGGAGATGTGGAGCCAGAGGTAGGACGAAATGAGCATGCTCAGTGAGCAAGCCATGGACTCCTGCAGGGAAAGTACAGGCGTGTGAGGCTCATGCCTCCCTGCATTGGCCACTTAGAAATTCTGGAGATTCTGTCCATGCTGGGAGATGCTGAAGGTGGAGGTTGTTGTTGAGCTTGGGTCTAAGAATTCCTGAGGGAGGAGGGGTTTGAGCCGGATACACAGGCAGGAACAGAGGGGTGAGCTGAGGGCTGGTGGGTGCACACAGCCTCAGCAAAGGATTCCACAGCAAACATGAACCTGGCCACTTCAGGCGCATGATAGGACTAAAATACACATAGAGCAGGCTGGGCCAGGCTGGGGGGAGTCACAGCCTTGTCCAAAGTCACACAGCTGAGAGACCAGGAGCTGTGAACCACAGGGCAGGAGAGGCGATTCTAAGCCAAGGACTCCCAATTTTCCAGGAATTCACAAAAATATGAGGCCTCAAAGACAATAAGCTGATGTCAAATGAAAGAAAAAATGACAAAACACAACTTACTCTGCCCCATGCTGGGGTCTGACCCTCTCAGACCTTACACATGTAGGGCGGAGACTCTACTGCTAAGTTATGCATAACTGGCCATGGAAGCAAGCTTTAAAAGTTTACGACGTAATATCAATCTCATTAATATTTTAATACATACAGACTTGACTATATATTCAGAAGCTTTGCACGTTGTGTTTTCTCTTTCCCACGCGTGTGAGATACTTGTTAAAACCGCAAATGTATAAATTAAGGTGCTTGCTAATAAACCATTCTAATTGCGAAAGGACAACTCTTACTAATCCTGCCAGATGTTGCGCAGTGAAAGGAATTCTGCTTTCTGTGGTGGCCACAAGCTTTGCTTCTGAGAGTGTCCACTGCCGTGTGGGAGGGGGGCTTCCCTCTTAGAACAAGAGAGTTTGGCCTAGGAAGGGGACCTGAAAAAGGCCATTTCTTTTTTTGCCATTTTTTTTTTTTAAATTAAACTCCCATTAGAACATGAGTTTGAGTCTGACTACGCGCAGGTCTATCTGTCCTTCTGAGCCTCGCCAACCACCTCACCCCAGGACCACACAGCTCAGGTTAGGACACCCAGCAGGGGCCAGAATCACACGACCTTTGCTGGTTTCAAGACCCCTAAGCATCCCTGGAGGGACAGGAAGCAAGGACTCCCTAGCTGCTTTACCAGGTACTGTGTGCATAAAGACCACGGAAGGCCAGGAGGATTCGAGAGAGGCCACCGAGACTCTGAGGCTATGATAGGAGCCGGCAGCGGAACACCTATGGGCAGGCGAGAGGATGGACACGGGATCTGCTGCCCCAGGACAGGACTTGCCCAGAAACGATGCTGGGCTGACAGGGCCGTGCTGGCTCAGAGGCAAGGGGAGGCCATTTCAGCAGAAAACGAGAGTTTGAAATCTCAGTTCTAGCTAGCTCGGGCCATGATTCAAATTCCCAGAATCTGGAGAGGAGTCCTTGGAATTAGGAGTGTCACTTAGGAGGACAAGCGACTGTGCGGCTGGTGACAGATACTCTGAGTTGGGCCCTATTTTTGGACACGGAACAATAGGAGTGGGTGACTGTCTGCTGGGCTGGGTCACAGGTCAGTCACTTCCCCGTGCTTGCCGCCGTCTGTGGTGTGCACAGGCGCAGAGGTCAGGTTGCTGGAGCACCACCCAGCCGCCTCGGGTCCTGAGAATGTATAGTCCCGGCTGCTGCGGTCCCTGGAGTTGGCTTAGAGTGTGCCATGAAGCCTTGGGACACCAATTCTGATCGTATGTCTGGCTGGCTGACTGCAACCACCCTGTCAGCTCACGGGGTTCTGGGAGGCAAGAAGCCGAGAGGTTCTTAAGAAAAGATTGAAGGGCTGAGAACACAGGGATCTGCTTCCAACAGCTCTTGAGCAATAAATATTGATGTGGGAGGGATTGATTCTCTGCCTCCATCTCCTTGAGGCTGCCAGGGCTGGCCAGGCTGCTTGCAATAAGGTTTGGCTGCCCTGGCCCATGAGGGTCCCTAGTGAAGAGCATGGAGGAGTGAGATTGGCTGCTAGACCCTGCATGTGTCTCTACAGCAGGGACGGGGGATGGGTAAGAAGGAAGAAGTCAAAGCTAGACTGTTTGGAAAATCTTTTCAAATGTCTTCTCCTAGACTTAGTGCCCAGGAGCTCCCTAAGTACCCTAAAGGTAAATGCAGCCATTAAAGGTATCCAAATGGCTCTAATACATAATCTAAGGCTTGTCTTATCATGAGAGGGTCTAGCCTGTGCCTAATGGGTGGCCACAGATCTACAGACTGAGGCTATGTCCTCTAACCGGCTCCCTGTCACTGGGTTGTTTTTATAGGGAAGTTGAGGGAGAAGCCCATATACCTGCCCTGAGGAGTGGAGGAAGGCCAGGTGCAGGGATCGGTACCTAGGTGATAGCTCAGGGATGAGGGTTCAGCAGAGCAAAAATGGCCTCTTGCGGGCTCCCTGACAAATTTCCGGATGCATTTCCGCCTGGGTAGCGGTGTCCCTATTCACAGCATTTTCCAGTGTTCACAGGTCTCTCAGAGAATTTGCTCTGGGGCTGAGCCAGGCACTGGGAAGGGCCTGACTGCCTGCTTTCCTTCATGGCAGGTCTCTTGCTTCTTGTATCAAGGATCCTGGCCATAGCCAGATTCCAAGTGTCCACTGGGTGCCATGACCTTCTACTGGGTCCTTTGTCCAAGATAGCTGTGTGTGCATATTATTCCTATAATAATTCTGAGTTTAGAATCCCAAAGGTATAGGCTTAGTGTTCAGGGCTTTGTGTTTGTTGTTGACTGGTTGGGGTCTTATTTTTTTTTTTATTGTTTTTGTTGAGCTATACATTTTTTTCCACTCTTCTCCCCTTCTACCATCTTCCATGACCCCCACGCTCCCAATTAACTCAGGATATCTTGTCTTTTTCTCCTTCCTGTGCAGATCCAAGTATGTCTCTCTTAGGGTCCTTTGTGCTGTCTAGGTTGTCTGGGGTTGTGGACTGTAGGTCAGTATTTCTTTGCTTTATGTCTAGAAGTCACTCACTTATGAGTGAGTACATATTGTCTTTGTCTTTCTGGATCTGGGTTACCTCACTCAATATGGCTTTTTCTAGATCCATCCACTTGCCTGCAAATTTCAAGATATCATTAATTTTTACTGCTGTGCTTTGGCTAAAGAGTCCCAATGAAAGTCTTCCTGGTATCTGAGTAGTGGGGAGAAAGGCTGGGTAGGGGATTCTTATGATGCCTGTGACCCCCTCCCCGACCCAGCTCTGCTACTTACTAACCCTGGGATCTACAACACATCTACATTTTAAAATTACTTAAGAATGAAGGAGGCAAAGTCTGGGGATAGATGGTCTAGTGCCTGGCACAGGCTCAGGGTGTAGGGGGTTTATCTTATCTCCTTTCTCTACCAGGCCAGATTTTAAGGGAGAGAACAAAACAAAACAGAAAACTACCTTCTCCCCCCCCCCCCCCCCGCCAATGTTCTTAAATGCTTTATTTTTTTCCTAGTTAAAGAAGCATTAGTTGTTTGTTTGTTTTTTTTTCAAATTCTTCTTTTAACAAGCAAGTAAAACGCGTGCCTGTGTCTCGTGTACCGAACATTTTGATCTGTGTATTCAGGAGGCCACAGCTACCGCAAACTGTCCAGCAGACTACCTCCCATGGTTGCCTGCTGTGGGCACTTAAAGATCAACTCTGAGCGATTCTAAGGTTTCCAACACTATGCTGGGTCTTCGTCATCATCACGATTGCAGTAGAGTCCTGTTGAACCTGTGCTCCTGTGGAGCTGCAGTTTGCATGCCCCCTGCTGCAGCTCCCTAGTCCTCCCGGACAGCCCCTGGGAGCTACCGCTGCAACCTCCCTGCCCTGAGTTCCAGTTCCTTAGACTCCACCTACAAATATGTTTGCGTCTGGCTGCTTACACTTTAACGTAATGCACTCTGCATCCTGACAAATGAAGGAACCCTGTTCCGTGTTAAGAACAGTTCTCACGTGGTCTTCACCCGCTCACCTGCTAAGAGACTGTTGCTAATGCACTTAGCCTGACTGTGGATCTCAGTCATTGTGACGGGTACTGCCGTGAACGTGGGCATGTGGCTCTCTCTAACACTAGACATTGCTCGTTCACCTGCCTATTTACGTTAGGACTTACGTTATTACGAGCCTGGGACTGTATGCACGCTCTCTCTGCAAGCAAGTCTGTCACCCAGCCAGATCCCCAGCCCTAGTCTCAGCTTTATTTTTTTTTCTTTTTGAGACAAAGCTCTGTGTATTCCAGGCTCATTATATAGCCAAAGAGGACCGTGAACTCCCGACCCTCCTACCCCACTTGCCGTGTGCTGGGAATACCGGCAGGGGCCACCACACCTAGTTTATGTGGGAGTGGGATTTGAACCCAGGACCACTGTACTAACTGAGCTACACATCCCCAGCCCTGTTTTTAGTTTTTGGGAGGCACTTTCACACTTTCGGCTTATACTCATTCCCATTTCCACCAGCGGTGTGCAAGGGTCCCCCCCTTCCACAGCCTCACTAGGGCTAGCTGCCTTTTGTCTTCTTTTTGCCGGCCACTCTGACTGGAGTGAGGCGATTGACCCCTGTTTATCTGCTTTTCAGAATCGTCTTTCCATTATATCCGGGAGAGAGTTTGAGACAGCTCCCACCAAACCCAGGTCTGGCGCTAAGGAAAAGAGTAGGAATTAAGCAGGCATTTATTCTGTTCCTCCTGCACGCTCCTGGGTTCCAGGTGTGCCTTATCTCGTTGAACCTACTGCCCATCCATGCAGCAGATACAGTATGGATGTTCTTTTCACCCCTGAGGGACTTGAGCTGCAGAAAGTAAACAGCGCAGTCGCATGACTTATAAACACTACTGAGGTTCAGTTCCGGAAAACCTCTTCCCATGCCTGTTCTCGGCTGATCAGTCAATCAAGATGAAAGAGCAGCGGAAACAAATGCAAGCAAAGGATTCACGGAACCAGAGAGTAGCATGCTAACACGCGTGGAGAGGTCAACCTGGGGAGGACAAGTGAGCCGCTTAGTGGCGTTCTGCTCAAATCCTCTACCCCGTCCCCTTAGAGGGTCATCAGCTCTCAGGGAACTGGTGCCTGTGCCCACTTTCTGTGACGGCACCAGGTAGGCACTGAGAGCCAGCAGCCCAGATCTGGCTCCATAGGATGGGGACCCAGCCCCAGGATGCTGCCTTCTAGGACCTTAGCTGTTCTCAGAGATAGCTTCAAGGTGGCTAGAAGCCCACATCAAGTCCTAGTCACGGCCTGTGTGTCCTGTAGGCTTGCCGCTGTCAGCACCAAGTCCCAAGAGAGGAAGTTCTATCGGGCTTGCTGACCTGGGCAAACCACAGGCCAGATGGGCCACCCCAAGCCCTGCTGGATGACAACACAGTGCTTCCTGTCTGAAGAACCCACAATTAGTCAGCACTCCTTGAAACAGATGCTGTTTGAAAGGTAGAAACAAATGGAAGCATAGGGCGTGTGAATCTGGGGCATTGGGACTCCTGCCTGACACCCCAGAATAAAGTCCCCATCTCTTCATCTGGCTGTAGACCCCCCAAGTCTGGCCCTAGTCTATCACCTGTCTCCAGGTGCTGGCCTGGGGAGTGCTGGCTGTAGTTAAATTTGGAGTAGCAGTGCCCACAGTCTGCCCCAATCCAGGCTCCATCCACCTCCATGCCTCGGGTCATACTGTGCCCTGCTCTGTCACCTCTCCCTCGGCCACACCTCTTCTGACAGCCCCTGAGCCCCTGCATATCTGTCTCTCCTTTCCCTGTCCCCAAACCCATCTCCATTGTCACAACACGTACGGGGCCGCTCTTCCATATCTCCTTGGTAGCATTCCCTACACTGCATTGCCCTTCACCAAACAAGTGCAATAAGACAAACGGACAGCACCTGAACTGAAATGACGGGGCAGATTTGAGTGCAGCCAACCTGGCAGGCGTGCACACATAAGGGCCAGCTCACACTGTGACCTGGGCACAAAGCTCACAAGATTGCCTGTTCCTCCCTGGCAAGAAACGTGAGTAAGTTCTGTCTGTGCCATGTAGCTTCTTCTACTTCCTTTCACTCCTCCCAGGATGTGACCAGGGCTACTATCTAAAGGCAGTGTGTCCAAAAGAGGTTATCAATGAGTAGACTTGTGTGACTAGTAAGTGATAAAGTCTCTGGCAACTACATTCAAGAGTCAACGTGACGATAATTTAAACCGGGCATGACATTACAGACTTGTAATCCCAGCAGTTGAGATGCACAGGCAGGAGGATCAGGACTTTGAAGTCAATCGTATGTGATAGCTCATGGCTGTCATCCCAGCACTCTGGCAGTTGAGGCAGGAGGATAACCAAGAGTTTAAGACATGGTAAGTTCTAGGCTAGCCTGAGCTACACAGTGAGATTCTGTTTTTAAAGGAGTTCAAGGTCTCCTTCAGTCAACCGGGACCATGTGAGACCTGTCTCAAAAAATAAAAATGTAAAGAAACACACATTTCACTAGACCTAAAATATTCCAGTTTGGGCATATGATAATAGAAAGAGTTCATTCCTGAATCTTGAAAATGCAAAT